TCATACTAAATATTCCACTACTTCCTAGTATAAGCTGATGTGACTCTGTTACAGGTTCTATAACCCAATAGGATACAGTCTTCCTAATACATTCTGTAAATTCAAATTTCATCATTAGTGGGATTCAAACTCTTGTCCTGCCGCTTGGGGATGTGACAACTTACCAACTTCACTAAGTCGCCACACTCTGGGATCCAAAAATCTTTAGTCAATCCTTCTACAATCTTATTAGTAATATCTGTAAAAATAAAAATAATCTATTTAATAAGCTTTCATATCTTGTACCCTAACTTTGCTAAAATAATTAAAATAATTTTCAAACATAGTAGCTTCGCTAAGAATACCAAAATAAACCCTACTTATATTACCTGTTTCATACGAATTAAGGTTGATTTCGAGTTACATATTTGCTATATTATTATCCATGTTCGTAAATCTATGCAAATAATTTTTTTTTCTAATATAAATATGTCTTTGATCAATATTTCAGAAATTGCACTATTTTTAGCCTTTGTATATCTATTAATATTCACTGAGAAAATTTCTGTCTATCTGATTTTCATTGCTACATACTTTGCTATATATATCGTCAAACAACAACTTATCACAGAATTCAATGCATATGTAGAAAGATTAACTGTAGATCTTACAACACGGGATGCTATATTTGTTGTTGAGGGACAAAGAATTCTGACAATGGTAAATACTGTAATTGAAACCATTAATAAAATCACCACTAATTATGAATCTCTTCATAATCAGTTAGACCAAATAACTGAAACAGGTTCTGTAGCACTATTAATATCTAAACAATTTGCTGGCCCATATGTACCTATGACCAATTTTTTCTGAAGATCTTCTGGTTTTTCTTCCAGATCTTCTAGATCTTCTTTGAGTTCTTCTAGTGGCTCAAGCCAATTATCTTTTTCTGATATTACCTCAACAATCAAAAAACACTTTAAAATTCTTTTTGATAAGATTATAGCAGACAATAATTATTTTTTAGATAATATATGTAATATGGTGCCTGTTAAGATTCGTAGTTTTGGGATAGGAAGAATTAGTAAGAAAACTATAAAAAATTTTTATTATAATAATGGTGATTTTAGAGATAGTACTTTAAATAAAATAAGTGCTTTGATTGATAGCAAAAATAATTTTAACTTAGCTAATAATACAGAGTAGCAGAAAGAAATTCTTATTTTATGGGTTAGAGCTTGAGAAATTCCTCTCTTTAAATATCTGCTACTCTAAATTTTTTTACTTAGCTTTACTCTAGCCCATTTTCATATTTATAATAAAGTTATATCTATTATTACTTGATTTTTAAATGTGTATTGTCATAAATCAGAAGTAAAGCTTCATTGTTAACATATTAGAGTAAAGTATAAATTTATCTGTACTATAATACCTTACAAGACTGCATCATGCATAACTTATATAGAACGGTAAAAGCACAAAGTATTATTTTTAAAATTTTTTAAATTAGTACTCCAATCCAAATTCGGACAATTATCTCATAATATATATATTATCTGTGCAACAAAATCTTTTTGTGAATTTTTGAATTTATTTTTAAGCTTTAGATCTATTTCAAAGCTAGTATAAAAATTTATTCCTTCTAACTAAAATGTATATATAGTTCTGTTTTTATAGTTTCTTTAATAAAAACTAAAAGCTTTACTAGGTGGTTAGGTGAAGTATAATACATAGTGATCTTTCTCTATATCTTAATGCTGAAGATCTCGAGTTTTTCAATATGCATTCCACATGCCTAAGGGTTACCCTATGACCAATGTAATGTAATGTAGAATATAGAATATAAAAAATTTAGCACAGAGCATATATAGATCCTTTTTCTGTTATTGTCATGCCATTTGTATTGCTATTCAGAGATAAGCAAATTCTATTTATAAAGGGGAGTATAACGAAGTTATGGAAGTTTGTTGCTTTACAGTGATTAAAAAAATCGAACTAATATTTATTGCTTTCAAAATGTCTGAAAATTATTTTTATCTTAATCGCAACCAACCAAGTAATGTATTGTATTTTAAAGAATAGTTGCCAAATGTCTATCTACCAAACGTTAAGACTTTGAGAAGAAATAATGTTAATATAGCAGAATTTTAATACTGCCAAGAGCTAGAAGAAGCTATAACTACATGTGGGACAAATAATTTAAAAAATAAGTGAAAGCTAGTAGATATCTTATCTTAGTTTAATACGACTTCTAAGGTATGTAATAAAAAATGTATTATCTTTTTTTTTCAGAAGATGATAAACAATTTTGCAGAAGAGGATAGAAAAACAACAATATAGGCCTATGTTGCTGTTTGTATCTGAATGTACGTAATAAAGTTTTTGTGTATATCTTAGCTTACGGAAAGCTAGCACCATAAACATCAAAGGGTGCAGTTTAGAGGATTTATCATTCTGATATGGATCTCACACTAGGTTCATTACGAGCTATGCCTTGTGTATCTTATTACTAACTATGAGCATGGATTCTATTTATATTATAGAAAATGTTTAATTTTGAAATAGCTGATTTCATATATTATATTATATAATTATATTATCTTAAAGATACTAGATTAGTTATTTTCTTCTTCTGTTTTTAGGAACAATGTTAAAAATTTTATAAAGAAGCTTGGATAGGAATAAATGAGAAAGTAAGTATAAATATATATATACCTTATACTATCTAAAAGGAAAAGCGCTTATTTTTTTTTATTTTTTACTAATATAGCAACAAGCTATAGAACAGGAACGTAATATTAATATAATTCAAGAGAATATAGAATTTATATTAAGCAGATGTATAAGTAAATATTTTAATTCTAATTTCTGGTGTGTTTATTGTTAATTAGAAATATTATCTATAGAGAGTTAAGCTAGGAAATAGTTGCTCAGAAGCTACTATAGTTACATATACCAAAATTGTTTGTCATTTGGAACATTTAGATCCAGTGACAATTAAACCAGAAGTTCCTTTAGCATCTGGTATTATTAATCTCTCTGAAAATGAAGATCTATTTATAAATTTATTATTGTCAAGATCTAAGCAAATTTTGATACATTATAAGTTTGGCAATAATGAATTTCTAGAAGAAATTAAATTTATGATGGATGATTTTGTAGACATATGGGGTTGAGTCAATAGAAATCAAGCAAATTTTTTCTAAGTAAATTTTTTTTAAACTTTAAACAACAATAACTCAACAAAAACTTAATTAAATTTAATAAAAATTTTTTAAATAAATTCTACAAACTTATAGAATTTGTTTAAAAAAATTTTTATTAAATTTGATTAAGTTTTGGTTAAATTATTGATATATAAAGTTTTAAAAAAATTCAATAAAAACAATTTGCTTGATTTCTATTGACTCACCCCCATATATAAAGATCTAAGACCTGACTTTGATCCTGTGTTAATGTGATCAATAGTCTTTCTACGAGGAGAAATGTCTATTGAATCCAGGCATATACTGATGCCAGTTTTTAACTTGTTAGAAGGATTGTAAGTTATTTGCATTAAATTATATATATATTTATATAAGGTTATTTCATTAATTAAGAGTATTTTTAATTCTAGACAACATATTTGGAGTTTGAGACCATTATTAACAGAAGATAATTACAGCAAGAACTCATATATAATTCATGCTGTATCAAAGGTTTTAGATCTAATCTTCACATATTCGAAGTAGTTCCTTAAATGTGCATAGTAATATATATACTGTAATTATTTTTATAATGATCATTATAAATATGTAAATACTCACTAAATGCTATATATAAATTTTAATACGTATAGGTCAGAGCAAACGAACAAGTTATCACAGTATAGGATAGAATGAATAGAAGCCACGAATTCAAGAAAGAAGCCAGATTTACAAGTTTTGTTAAAGCTTAATATAGTGAAAAATGAAATAGTACTTGCTGAAGTTTTATGATTACTGCTTTAACAAGATAAAGAAATTATTAACTAGAAAAAATTGGTACATATTTGCAAAGATTGTTTTGATAAACGATATAATATTTTTTTTGATGAGAGGGATGATACTACTGATATAGCCAGATCAATAAATATCAAGTTAGAGAAAGTTTCTGTGAGTTGGTTATATCATTACATATTTTCTCATACCTGATAGTTGAAGAATTTTTAAAGAACGTCCTTAAAATAAGATTTGTGATGAAAAAAATTATTGTAATGTCTGTTGATATGAAGGACAAAATTAGTTTTTTGCTAGTAACTGAAGATCGGACTCCATCAACATCAATGATGTCGACAACATATTCTCTACCAAAAAATTTTTAAATAAAAAATTTTTGAATATATATATTTTTATTCTGTATTTTGTTTTTTATTTTTTATATTAATAAAGCTGACTCAGGTGGCCAATTTTGCATACATAATTAGTTTACTTTTGCATATATATTTCGCAAATTTATTTTATTATATTATTATTAATATATATTAACTCACATTGATTGAGAATTGTTATAAATTAGAATGGACACACAATATTTTTATTTTGAATATATTTGCATTTTATATAAAACAATGGCAGATTTACAAACTACAATTACTTCACTAAGAGAATTAAATTCCAAGCTTGCGGTTGAGATCAATGAACTTAAAAAGAAGTTCACTAAGGTTAAGGCTAAGAATATCAAAGTTAAAGCTAAGAATGCAAAATTAAAACAAGATAAAGAAGAAATTGAGGCCAGATTTGTAAAACTAGAGCAAAATGATAAAGAGAATAGAATCTAAAAGCTGAAGTAGCAAAATTAAGATGTGACATCTTGGAAATCAAATTACAAATCAGAGTTAATACTGACGAACATGTTGCATTTTATATTAAAGTTATTTCGCAGTCTGATGAAAAGAAAGACATTAATTTTGATCTCTTGTCTGAAGTAGAATATAGCTTAACACAATCTGAATCTTTAACAGAACCTAAAATATCTACAACCTCTTTATCAGAAACATTGCCATGCCAATGAATACTAATGATGATTCAGCTGAGACTCTTAAATTTGCAGAAAGAGTATATAAAAAAAATGTTAGTAATGAAATAAAACAGAGAAATGAAGAGAAAAAACTTTTACGTGAGTTTTTTGAAAATAAAACCCAAAACTTATCAGAGAACAATCAAATTCATGCGATTTTAGTAGAGCCAGATTTCCTGAAAACTGAAATATCTGAATTGCAACAAGACAATAGTACAAAAAATGAAAATAGAAATTCAAGCTGTAGCCAAAATATTATGACTGAATATCAACCATGCGATTCTGGGACTCATCCTCATATGAATGAGAATTTATATGATTCTATATTGCTCACCAATATAACTACAAATAATTCAATTCAGAAAAATAATCGAATTGAGATGCAAAAATTTATACAAGAGTTGAGTTTGGAATTTGACTTGAAATCAATTGAAGTTATTAACAGAAATAGAAAGCAGGGTATACTTGATAATACTGAAAATGAAGCTATTGAACTAGTCTATATGTATTAAAATGCAAGAAAAGCTAAAAAGAATACTATCCACACTAAGCAAGAAGAAATTTTAAGTTGGTATCATTATACAAAAAGCTGTGAAAAGAGAGTTTATGATGTCTTATCTAATTGCAAAAATACTAAAAGAGCAGATGACTTAGCAAGAATTCAGGTTTATGATGAAATCTGGAATTGTTTTTTTGGTATCTTATATAAAAATTTCTGCAGACAAACTCAAAGAGCTTGTAAAATTTATAAGTTGTTTAACAGCATAGGAATAGAAAAGGTTAACTGAGTTAAATCTTATAGTGCAAATAGAATATCAAAACTCACTAATTCTCAAATTTAATACATCATAGATTATTTCTCTAATAGATGTAAACCCTGTATCCCCAGGACATGTGGTCATATAACTAAAATTTCTGAAACTAATAATAAAATCTTGTCTGAAGAAAATATATCAAAAACTGAGACAAGCTTATCAACTGCATCTATTTCATTGTCTCATACCTCTAATTCAGAAGACAAATCTTTACTGGAGACTAAGATAAGTGCATCATTTAATCTAACTCACAACTATACTTATTTTCGTAATAAAATATTAGAACAGTATTCTAATTTATATAAAGATGATAATAGTGAAAATATAGATTATTATAAAATTATTGATGAAACATTATGTCCTTTATGCGAATTAGATTACGATGATGATGAAAATATAGAATATAGATATAAAATTGAATCATATTATATTAAATGTGAACAGTGTGGAATTGAAATTGAGGTAATAGCATGAATTTTAAATGTCAATGACACTAGCTCCACTATCTTATGCTAATACAATTTGCTTAAATCTTTAAGGTGTCTCTCTAAAGCATGTTTATTTTTGTTAGATATTGTTAATTTAAAGAGATGTGCAATTATATAAAATGGAAATAGAATACACAGACCAATAAAACATTAACTCCTGAATATTTGAAATAGCATAATAAATTTACTGGATTACCAAATGTTTTAACAGATAATATTTGTTCTAGGTTATATAAAGATATAAGAAAGAAACTAAGTTCGACTCCTAGATAATGTCTAAAACCTTCAAGTTTCCACAAATCGAAAAGGATGCTGAAAAAAAAATGTAATTTGTACTACAGATAAATGTTTAGCCTATACTATTCAAACTTCAACCATTAATTTCTGTTCTATCTAAAGACCCCAAAGAAAGGCAACAATATATTATTGAAATGGTATTAGAATGATTTCTTTATTTAATTTTGAAACATAGTTTTAAATATAGTAATTATTTTGATTTTAATAGATCTCTACTCTGTCTTATATGCAATAAAGATTATAAAACAGAAAATATAAGAAATCATATAGAGAGTTTATGGGGAAGTGGCAATTATGTCAATATAAAAGCTTATCATTTCTATTGTTATATAAATAAATATCAGAATTCAATCCCAATAGTAACTGTAAAAGCATAGGTTAATAAGGAAACTAAATATAACTCTATTATTTCTACCAATTAATAATTGTAAATTGTATTGCAAAATTACATAAAAATAAAACTTAAGAAGGCCACAGAACCCCCTTCTTTATTTAATAAAATTTTTTTTGCCAGAATAAGAACATACAAATAAAATAATACAAATACAATAAAAAATCAAAAGCTATAGTAACTGTGAATTTTTAATACTTTTGAAAATGTTATAAGGTTGATACCAGGATAATTAGATAATCAAGAATTATGCCCACGCCAGATAGCTTTTTTTGATCGTTTTTTGGATTGGAGTCATTAGTTTTGGGGGCATTACTATCATTGGTCTTGAAAGTGGTGTTATCATTAATCTTGGAGGTATTGTTGGTCTTGAAGGTGGTATTATTATTAGTACTCATTTTTCGGTTCTAAATACAAAAAATCGAAGTAAGTAAAAATTCATTTTTATAGTCTCTGTTAAATAAAATAGCAAATTACTTAAAAAAATATGGGCAAGTAAGTCAAGTAAAATATATATGAGCAAAAAAATAACATTATTGCTAACTTATTTTAAGGTGGAAGCTTGCTTATTTTTATACTGTTTATACGTTAGATCTAAAAACTTACAAAAAAAATACATTAGCAATTATATTATTCTAACACAATGTCAGATCACACTTAACAAAGCAACTCATTTTGGTCAAGTTCTAAATACTGATTCTTTATGTTGTTTTTTAGGTAAAATTAAATCTTCTAAATTCAATAATCGCTTTTGCAAAGTGAAAACGTCAACAATCCTGGCGATCTAAAAAATTTCAAGTTCTCATAACATATGAATTTGGATAAAACTATTGATAAAGAAGGTTATACTCTTTCTTCTTATAGCATTTTTAAGTTTTATTCATACTCATCTTATCGTGGTATCATATAATAAGAAGGTCCTAAATTTGTAATATTAGTTTACATTATTAATAAAAAATCAACTGTGAGAAATGATTCTGCAGGAGTGTATCACAATCAACATACCTGATTTTGAGTAACTTGTATATCACGAACTTTATTTTGCAATATCTTAATGCTATAATACTTCAAGTGAAATAGCAAATAAAAAATTGACCAGATTTTTGTATCATACGTATGTAGTTGGGTTAAAATAATAAACATAATATGTTTACAGTTATTTTTAGCTATTGGTGAAAAAATTGTGTAGGTGTTTGATTAATATATAATATCACATAATAACTATTCTAAATTTGTACATAGACCTTAAACCCAGCTCAAAAATTATTAAAGTACCTCCTATGAGTAATGGTAGTCCTAAATATAACTGCACCAGGGGTCTAGACACTTTTGCAATAATGTGATGTAGCGCATGAGAAATAACCAATCAGAGAATGTAAATTTTGATTGTTCTAGATTAGTCTGACATCAAAACAAAACATGTGCACAAGAAGAAAAAAAGAGAAAAAAGTGAAAATACTTGAAAACTAGTGTTTAAATCAGCCTTAAAAACTGCATAAAAATGTCTGGAATGTGATTTTACATATATATAGAGAGCTTCTAAGGTTATATATACGAACTCTAACCCTAACCTTAACAATAAAGCCAAAAAGTTAATTCAAAGACACCACATCACATAATAGTCATGTTACTGCAAAAGTGTCTAGACTTCTGGTAAAACCTCTGAATATAGCTATAATTGTTATGCTGAATTTAGTAAACATTTTAATTGTTTGTTAGTAATTATTATAATGTCAAATAGAAATTGTTAGTTGACTCATGTTAGATTATTGCAATACTGAGTCACTTATATCATATAATGCTTCATATTAAATTATTATATATTAAATAAAAATAAATCGTAATTTATAATAAAAAGGTTATTTTTACTACAAAGTTCTGTTCTGAAACTGCTTATTTTTCTTGAAAACATTTAAAAAATTTTTATAAAATTACTTACTTTTATCATCACTATATCATTGCAAAATACTCCTATTATCTTACCTAAAGCCTTTAAGAAAAATGTTCGTAAAAAGGATTTGTGTGCTATAAAAAAGCAAAAATTAAAAAGCCCATTAGTTTAATCACCAATAAAGGCAATTCCATATCCAATATTATACTTTACTAAGCCAATAAAAGAAAGAATATTTTCTATAATCCTCTAAAAGTATGTTAATCATCTTTTATTATATTTAGTTTTTTTTATAGTTTAGTCTTCTTAGGAGCAATTTTTACTTTTTAAAGCAGGCTCTGTTCTCTCCCATTATTATTGTACTCTACTATTATTGAGAGTGTAATTGTTAAATCATGATTATTTTGTTGTAAGAAGAGGAAAACCGAATAAGCTTCTTGTTTAACACTGAGCTACAAGATAAGAAATGGTTTGAATGTATCCACTTTAAATATTTTTATTTAACTTTATAATAAAGTATAGCATCTCATAAGACGTTTTCTAAATATATATTCTTTAGCATAAGACTTAATCAGAAACCTGCCAGTTGACCAAAGATGAGGCTTGTGAATATATCTGTATCTGATGGATATCTGAAGACTTTTTTTCTAGCGATCTTAAATTAGCTAAAACTTTACAACCTTATACTTTGATAAATCTAAAATTTACTTTCATTAAAAAGTTTTTAGAAAGAAGGTCACAGAGACTAATTATCCTTTCTTTGCCACCACAAACAATTCAACCAACACCTATTAACAACTCTAAAATACTGACACATTATATGAGTTTGCTGGAGTCCAAGATATTTAATGAAGGCTCTTCAAATTCAACACCTGAACAGTAGAAAAAGTTTGGGTTGTGGGCTAAATTTTTAAAGGTTTCCAATTTTAATAAGCGTTTTTACCTTCACTGCTATCACCTCTGGCAGAGATGTATATTTTAACTGTCCAAAGGCTTTTTTGATACTGTCTAATATCCAAATGTCCAAGTATCTAAAAGTGTCCAGAGTATACTTAAGCCTTAATAATTAATAAATTTGTTTAAAATATATATAACTATATATTTTTTTAGGTGCTGAACATATTTTACTTAGAAAGTAATATAAATTATCTTAATAATATTTTGAGTAATTTTAATTTATTTAATTGTTCAAAATTGTCCAAAGTGTCTAAACTCACTGTTCACAACTATCCTGTGACAATACTGCCTCTGGTTTAATGTTATACATGCATACAAAGAAGCACAAAAAAAAATACAAGGATATAATATCTCAGAGACACTCAGCCAATCATCAAAAAATAAATCAGATATAGCTAAAGAGGCCATAAAAGATGTAGCTAGTGATCACTATGTAAAAAATTTTTCACTTAAATCTTTGGCAATCATTGATTATCATTTTATCAGCCCAATAAAAAATTTTATGAAAAAAAATGAAAAATACCAAATATAAAGTAAGCAAGCAAAATATTACATCAGATTACCAATTTTTGTGTCAAAAATTCTTGCTTTTACTATCGTTAGTTATTGTAACTGCGATATTTGCACATATTTGCGATTCTTGGTTTCTATATAATCCTGTAATTATGTATTTGCGTACATACATACAATTTATTGATCTATGCTATACTACGTATTACAAAAGATTTAAGGCGTGATGAATTCATATGTGAAGAATAATGGCATGATGAATTCATGCATGAAAAATAAACAAAATTTGATGAATAAGTCATGCAGACCAATCAAACTTAAGATTTTGCAGATGGATATTGCTTCAAACACTATATTAACTAGATAGCTGCGCGACGTCATCGCACGAAACCAGGAACAGGATACCTAAGCAGAGAACAGAATCAAATCATTTGATATTATGTATGATTACATAACAGGATGTCTAGTTTTAAATGGAATTTTCAAGATGACCTATGCAATGATAGGCAAATGAAAATCAAATCTCAATACGGTCCATGCGACAATAGACAGGTGAAAATTAAGCACCAAGTGACATATAGCATCACATGGACCAATCAGATCCAAGATTTTGCAGATGCATGCCATCCTGGCGCATCATATAACTATCACTACGTGATATGCATTACTCAGTTCTTGGTATTTTCAATATCACTCTGTTCCTGGTATATACTCTATTGCATTTGTTCCTAGTACGTATTACTGATTAAATACCGAGAATCGCACAATCCCATATAACACACAAGGAAGAAGACCCTGAATACTATTATCGCATCTAACCTTTTTTAGTATTGTTTGGGGTCTTCCACAAATTTCACTTAATCAGGTATTCAGAATTGCACTCTCCAAACAAATATAGAAATCCAAAATCAACCATCCAATCAATATACACTCTTTAGTAAACCATACACTCTGTACTTCGTACTATGTTTCTGGTATAAGCCAACTAAACTACTCACCTTAATAACGATTAAAAATCCAAAATTCTCAATAAGATACTCATCTACTTAACTTATATATTGCCAGAAGCTAATCTATATATATGTGCATAAGGCACTACATTGGTCAAAATTTAGTATCCACAATATTGGTTATAATCGGCTATGTAAGTTAAAAATCATGAGATTCGATCTTTATACTGTAGTATAATATATTATATCATGTGAAACAATAATCCAATCAGATGCTCAGATTTGCACACAGACATTTAACTTTCTAGTAAACCATGCACTTCGCATTTTGTACTATGTTCCTGGTATAAAAGACTAGTACATGGGTACTGAAAAATAACCTATTAGCTAGCTAAAAATAAAAAATAAGCATTTTTAATTTTTAAAAATAAAGTAACGAAAATCATATAAAATACTATAACTTAATAAATACTTCTTTGATATATAAGATAGTAAAGAAAATAAATAAATATAATTAAACTATTCTTTACATATTTTTCACTTTGTAAAAAACAGAATATTTACATTATTTAACTCAAAATTACTATTGTAGTAATTAATTTTAAATTTAAACTAAGTTTTTCAAATTATATGTATATTTATCATGATTTAGATCAACCCAAAGAGATACACTTGGACAGGTAATTTACATTAGTGGCGTACTGATTATGGAGCATAATACGTATACGTATAATGCAAATTAGCTACTTTTATTAATTGATGATTTATTAGCATAGTACCGATACCCATGAGATATTGGCATAATTTTAACAAAAAGCTTTTCAAAAAAGCTATACAAGAATACAGTATTTAGCCTTTTGTACAACAGAGTTCTTACTAGACCATATGACTCTGAACCCATTGTTTCGAGCTAATAAATTTTTTCCCAAATTAATTTTCGGGAACCTACGGACATCACTACGAATGCAGATGTTTCATAATTATCATCTTTCAGATTATTAACATAGTTTAGAAGCTGCCGACCAGCCTCATCAAAAATGGTTTGAATCGTTTTCCCTTTGTCAAATTTCTTTGAAATACTACATTTAAGTTGTCGTATCTCATTTTTCGATATTTTTTCTACTTTTTTTGCTTTTTCTTCCATAGTTTCCCAATTATAATTACTTTCTAATTTGCATAAAAAGCTCAAATTTAATATATTCAAAATGATAGCAAGTATAAAAAAAGGTGTTTATAAAAAGATAATCAAAAATGTGAAAACATGCTGGCAATATCTAAATCCAAAAAGTTGACACTTTTATTCTTAAATTCAAAAATAAATCGATTATGTTTTGCATTACTAGCAGCTTTAATTTCCGCAACTGATAGGTCGGCGTACAAAGTGTATATCTTTACTTTATTATGATATATTTCTACGGGAACTTCAATATCAACCAAATAATTTAGGAGATCTGATAACAATACATGAAATAAAACTTTTGTTACAAGCTCCTGATCATTGTAAAGATTTCCTTTTTTTATCCAATCCTTTAATTTCTATTGAACGTATGCATACAATTCATCAATATTGTAAGTGGTAAGAAGACCGTCTATACAATTTTTTAGAGGATTCATATTACTTTTTAATCTCTTTGATTGTAATTGTTAGAAATTTTCTTTATTTTCAAAATATTTTCTTTTATTAGACTTCTATATATCAAAATAAGTTTAGCTTAATAAATTATAGAAGTTCATAATATATTTATTTACATAATGCAGTATATTTAATTGATGATTCTCCAGTCAACTGAAGAATGATCATAGTAAAACGTAACGCAGTTTTATATATAAATTACTATAGGTGCGAAAATAGAAATTTTCTAGTAATTGTCCAAAGAAAACTTTTTTTATACTAAGTTAATCATCTTTAAATCTCTAATTAAAGTTGTAGAGCTCATCGAG